GGAAGAGTCCAAAGAGGAAGAAACGAAGTCTAGTGACTCTGTTACCTCGGGAACGGAAGAGAACTCTGCGGCAGAAAAGGGTGCAGGACCTGCCAGAGTGGTATACGATTTTAGAGAAGAAAGCCGAAATAAAGGCAGAAGGACTTGGAAAATGGCCTTTTGAAGCGAAGAATAAGAAGATGATCAGAGATTTCTCTCATACCAACTAACAAAATAACATATAAATAGCGAATTGTTATAAGCAAGAACTACAAGTATATTGTGACATTAACTGTAACAGTACTAACATTTTAACTAACAGTGAAAAGATCTCCTCCTCTTGGGGTTTTAGATTAGTGTGGTTTGCTTTTCTTTCTCCTTAGATGTAGTCCCTTCCCCATTATTTCTTTGTAGTTTTTGTAGTTTTGCAAAATAAAAAATATCCCTCCGGGGATTTAAAAAAAGAGAGAACATATAAAATGCTGCAGCTTCAGTTTGTGAAGTTCTGTAATTTATATTTTTGGAGGCGGGTTTGTTTGTTTGTTTGTTTTTTGTATTTGCATTTGTGTGTGTGTGCGCCCATGCCTGGAAGTCATGTCAATGTCTGGTGATTCCTTACTGTGGCATGGAGGATGTTCGGAGAAGTGGCTTGATAGCCAGCCTCTGTCTCCTGTGATATTCTTTGGAGGTCTCCCATCCAAATACTTGCCAGGGTCGGCCCTGCTTAGCTTCTGAGGTCTGACGAAATCAGACTTGCCTGGGCTATCTAGGTCAGAGCATTTATATTGATTTTCATTCCTGATGCACTAAGTTTTTGTTCTGTATCATCATCTGCTTTTCTCATTGAGACCAATGTGAATTACACAATGTAAATTGATACATTCAATAGGATTAGACCTCAAATAAGCAATGTAAAAGGACTAGGATTACAGAAATCAGAAACAAAGCATAAAGTATGAGACATGTTAAACCATGCAGAAAATGGTACTGGAAGAATCAAAAGCAATGCAGTGGGAATGGAAAAATACATGCAGCAAACAGGTAATATATACTATACTATCCACAGTCCTGTTTCCTTTATAAGAGTGCCTACCTCAATCATTTTGTTATAATACCCCTCTTTTTAAAAATTTCCTCCTGACCAATTCTGTTTCACATAATTTGTAGAATGATAGCAGTATGGCCATTCCATGAGGTGGAGGAAGGACACAACAGAATGCTTATATACGGGCATTTGCAGGGTGGCACCCCCAGAAGGCCCTGCTCGGGTGAGCAAAGCTGTTATGGAGGTGTGTAGGGGAAAAGGTGGTTCTGCGGATTTGGTGTTCCAAAACCATGGAGTGCTTTGTATGTGACAGGCAGTACCTTGAATTGAACCAGGTAATCAATGTGCAGTTAATGGAATGACTACAGAAAAGGTGTAATGTGCATGTTCCACTCAGCTCCAGATAAGCTGCAGCATTCTGTACAAACTCAAGTATCTGGGTTGACTGACAGCACACCCATGTATAGTTCATTACAATAGTCTAGTCTTGATGTTACAGTGGTATGGATCCAGGTAGTCAGATTGGCCTAGTCAAGGTAGGGGACCATCTTTTGGGCTAAACAGTTAGAAGAAATTATTTTCAACTGAATTATCTTGTTTAACAAGCAGCAAGGCTGAATCCAGTATAATCCCCAGGCTCTTAACTGAGTCAGCAAAGGTCAGTGGAACCTCATTGAAAATAATGTGTACAATGGCCAAAGCCTCAGCCTTTCCAACAACCATTACCTCCATCTTGTTGGAATTCAGTTTCAATTTGTTCACTCATAGCATTAACCACAGGAGTGGCTTACTGCAGTATTGTTAGGACCTGATGCAACCAAAGTCGGTCATTGACAGTGATGGGAGAAAGTACCATGTCTAATTTGCATCATTGGTTTCAGTAGGACTAGGCATACATAACTAGGTTGTGGGTGGAATGCATGATCTATGCAGAAGCATACTGGAATCTTTCAGGTTGCTCATCTGTATGCAATTCTAAGTGCTTTTGTACATTCTGTTGTATCCTGAGCTTGATAAAGTGCTGCCACCCAGTCTCCCTACCCCACCTAGCCAAATGTGTGAAATCTACTTTAAACCCACTTGTGCTCTGTTTTTCTTTATCTCTCAAAGTTCTTAGAAAACCAGAGCCGATTTTAATATATGTCAGAGATAACTTGTGTAGTGTGTAGCAGTTTGAGTGTTGGATTAAACCTGTGGAGACCTAGGTTTACATCTGTGCCTGCTGTGAAACATTTTGGGTCCGCTTGGACCACTCATTCTCTCTCAGCCTAACATATTTCAGTTGCTGCCAGGATAAAATAGAGACCTACAGTATGCTGTAATGAGCTCCTTAGAGGAAGGGCGAGCTAAAACTGTAATAAAGAATTTCCTTTCCCATTAGGTTGTTGTTATTAGTCATTCAGTCGTGTCCAACTCTTGGCGATTCCATTACGTAGGATCTTATTAGATAAGACTGCCATATTTGCAGATGAATGAAAAATCAAGAGACTAGAGCTTCCTATAATCCTCTTACAATACCTGGGTAGGGTTGTGCATTGGAAATCTGTTAGCATCAGATGCCTACAAATTGAAGCATCCATAATTTAAAATCCAAAAGCATTTACCTATTTACCTTAAACAGTTTGAGACCAGTGGCACCTTGAAGAGCAACAGAGTTTTTTTCAAGGTATAATCTTTTGTGTGCATGTACACTTCTTCAGGTATCTGAAGTGTGCATGCACATGAAAACTTATACCTTGAATAAAACTGTGTTGATCTTAAAGGTGCCACTGGACTCAACTTTGTTCTGCTGCTTCAGACCAACTTGGCTACTCACCTGGATCTATTCATATTGAATGTATTTGACATAACTTTAAGTAACTTTGAGTACGGGGACGGCGAAGGATGAGATGGTTAGACAGTGTCATAGATGCAACGAACATGAAATTGAGCCAACTTCAGAGGACGGCGGAAGACAGGAGGGCCTGGCATGATCTTGTCCATGGGGTTGCAAAGAGTCGGACTCGACTGTGCGACTGAACAACAAAAATGCTCAAAGCTAAAGGGTGAATTGCAGAAACATAAGTGATACTGATGTTTCACTCTAGGGTTGCATGGGCAGTGTGGGTCAGTACTGGCTAGGGGGCAGCAACCAAGGTTCCCTCTAAGCTGCGGAGTCCTGTGAGCGAAAATCCTATTCGGTGAGCGACCGGCATTAAAGTGGTGAGCCAGCGATTTGGCTGCTGCAGAAATTAGTTTGCTCTGGAGCCATCCTTCCTGAGCTAAGGCAAAAAGCTGTGAGCCGGAGGCTGAAAAACTGTGAGCCAGCTCACCCTAACTCAGCTTAGAGGGAACACTGGCAGCAACATCCCATTTTGTTAATTTTTAAGGAGAAATATTACTGTATTTAAAAGAGCTGTAATTATTTACAGGGGAATATCACAAGTTAAGCTTGCTTTTTAAAAACTATACATGAATAAATCTGTGCTCCAGGTGGTGGGGTGAGCCCAGCGTAAACATGGCCCTGTAGCCATGGTAAAATGGCAGTCTGAACAACAGTTGCTCTTTAAACGTAGCTGTGACCTACCTGCTATAGTACTGTAATGTTAAATTTTGCCAGATTACAAGAATGATGAGTCTCCTTTACTCTCACAAAGGCAATATAGTTCACATTCATATACTGAAAAAGAGGAACTAGAAATAATTTTTTAAAAAACTGTGTCTGGAATCTTCTTCTGAGGAGCTCTGTGTGATTGCTTTCCCTTGTCTGGAGTTTTTCCAACTCTCAGTTGTATTCCAAGACTGCCTCTGTCTGAAAATAGATTCAGGTGGGTAGCCATGTTGGTCTGAAGCAAAAGAAGAGTCCTGTGGCACCTTTAAGACCAACAAAGTTTAATTCTGGGTATAAGCTTTTGTGTGCATGCTGATGAAGTGTGCATGCACATGGAAGCTTATGCTCAGAATTAAACTTCATTGGTCTTAAAGGTGCCACTGGGCTCAAACTTTGTTCTGTCTGAAAATGCGCTTCACTGTTCCAATATCCATAAGAAATGGGGTGGGGTGGGGTGGGGTGTGTGTTATCCAGCCACTCTCTGGTTTTGGCCAGCACTGTTTTAGCCCCATGAAGGAGTGTACACCATAACTAAAGCTGTGAGTCTTGCGACTTACACGTGTTCTTCTTGGTGACCCTTTTTTACAGGATTCGACTGATCCCGAAATCAGGTACAATAGGGACCATAAAACTATGGCCCATAGAATCGCCAAGAGTTGGACACGACTGAATGGCTAATAAGTGTGTGTGTGTGTTGTGTGTGTGTGTATATATAATTAGATGGGGGGAGGCTCATTACCTGAAGAACATTGGAATTTGTCTCCCTGCCACATGCATGCCCTGGTGCTTGAGCCTTGAGGGCCTCTCCAACATTAACCGTGAGGAGAAACAATTGGCGATCTTGGTCAACTTTGTTTAAACGTTACTCATAATCGAATTGTCTCGTCTCCATTTATTCCTGGCTTGCCTGAATGAAAACTAAGCTGTAACTCAACGAAAGCTTTTCTTCAAATAAGTGTTCTTAGTCGGTGCCACTGGCATTTTTTTATTGTGAAGAGCTGAAAGTACAGCCAAACACATCTTCGCGCGTGCCTGAACCAACACTAACAAGTAAAAACTGCACGTTTTGGCACATTTTATTAAAACTCTGTGCACTTCCGTGGTACAACGGTGACTCGTAGAATGCTGGGAGTTGTAGTCTTTCACGGCGCCCATCCGCAGCGTGAGGTATGCCGGGAATCACAGTCGCTTCCCGCCTCGAGTGCCGCTTTTTCCACCGGCGTTTCCCAGCATGCCTTGCCGGAGCCCTCCTAATGATTGGCTGCCGGGTGTTGGTTAAGCATGCGCAATCCCACGTCCTGGCCGGAGCCGCTTCCATGCAACGTCGCTGAAGTATTTTGCATCTGATACTGGCGGGGGTGGGTAGGGTGGGGAAGCTGAGGAAGAAGAGGACTAGGAGAAGACGGCGAGGAACGCAGAGACGGTCGAATCTCTTCTCTCCATCATTTGGGGACGCGTCATACCGCCTGGTCGTGACGTCATTTCTCTGTGAGTGTCGTAGTTGTGGGGTGAGGAGGTGCAGGAGCTGAGGAAGGGGCGCGCGCAAAGGCAATGGTCCTGAATAAACAGAGGGGTGTGTGGGGGGGGGGAAGGCCAGAGGTTCTTGTCTATACTTGGGTGTGAGTTGCTGAGTGGAGTGAGGAAGAGGAGGGGGCTGACGTTGGGTAGAGTGGAGCCTGGGGCGCGGGGCGACGGTTCTGAGACTGAAGAGGTGAAAAACTTGAGGCTGAGAAGGAGCCAGTGAATTACTGAGTACACTGTGGTCTGGGTGGAAGAGGAGGCAAATAATAGAAAAGAGCTTTTGTCATTGAGTGGAGTGAATGGCAGAAGCTGGAACGGATGGATTGAAACGGCGGCAGCATATAACAAGTGTGCTATTAGCTGATATGAGATTGATTGTTTTTATTAAGTCTGTAGTATGTTATTAGCTGGGCTGATCACTATTATTAAATGTTAAATAGTATTGTAACCTTCCAAACTTTATGATTTGAGTATATATGTATTTTATTATTATTTACTGTGTCATGTTGTAAGTTGATTTGTATTATTTGCTGTAGCTTCTGAGCTAATGTAATAAAATATTTGATGCTGATATAACAAGCCAGGTAAGGACGTACGTGTGGTGTTCAGCAAGCACTGGGGGGATGGAATGTGCCCTCTGTCTGACACACACAAGAGGGAGGGAAATGATGACTGGGAAATCTGCAAATCACTGGGGTCCCCTAATGTGTTTACAGTGTGGAGTAGTTCAGCTCTGTTTGGTTTCCTGTATACCTAAAGCAGGAAGAGCTATTAGGGGTGTTCCGAGTCTTGGAAGGACATAATTTACCAGTTAGCTGAGAACAAACAAATGTTAGAACTGCCAGAAGCAAAACAGTAACAATAAGAGCTAACATAGAAACCACTTATTTGTCATCTTCGGTGAGAGCCAGTGTGGTGTGATGGTTAGAGTGTCAGACTAGATCTGGGACACTTCAGGTTTGAATCCACACTATGAAAACTTGCTGGGTGTTCTCCTTGGAGCAGTCATGTTCTCTCAGCCAAACCTACCTCACAGGGTTCTTAGAAGGATAAAATGAAGAAGAAGAGAATGATGTAAGCTGCTTTGGGGTTCTCATTGGAAAAAAAGGTGTGGTATAAGCTAAATAAATAAAATACAAACGTGAACTTTTTTCCATACTTGGTGCTGATGAATGATTGTTACCAAAATAGTCAACCTCTCTCCTTTCTTATAGTAAAATAGTAATCTTATTTTCCTTTTGTTAGGAATTGTTGAAAGCGGCTTTGGAGGAGTCATACAATGAAGAACCAAGATGGTGAGAGCAAAGCTGTGCTGCTACCTGCCAGTCCTTCTAAAATAAACTGTAGTCTAGGGCCTGATGACAGTGACTTAGCTGACTCTTCCGTAACGTCTTCAGAAACCTGTGAATGTCCACACCCGCCTGAGCCATGTAGCTTAAAGCCTTTGGTTGATGGAAGTGATGAAACTTCAGCAAGTGAAGAAACTCCAGCAAGTGAAGAACAAAGCAAGAAAGAGGGTTTGTGTTGATGTGGGCCATGTAGCCCTCGCAGTAATTACATCTGTTTGAGTGTATATCTTGTTCTCTGACATAGGCTTAGAGTGGCTTGTTACTGCCACTAAAGAAGGCCTCTTTCTGTATCCTACTCCTTTCTGATTATCATGATGCCTATTTTTCTACAGGTTAGAAGTTTTTTCTTCTCTCTTCTGCCACTAATATGTGTACACACATTCTAAATGCTTCTCCCCAACTCATTGCCCTTTTTGTCCAAACATCCCTCAAGCCATGAAAATTTGGGGACAGTGGATAGAGTTGTCACTGGTGAGATTTTTTTACCAGTATTGTTATAGACTCGAGATAACATAAAGCATTAAACAGCAGCACAGCTTAATGTCATGCTACCTGTAAAACCAATGGCAAGTTCAACTGTTGGGGGGGCTGGTGGGTGGAGGAGATTTGCTTTCCTTTCCAGTCTGTGGCTCAGCTTGCTTAGAGCTGTTTTGATGTGTTCAGTATGTAGATACCTTCCTGTTTCAAGAAACAGTGGAAGGGCACCTAGTGTAATCCGCCTCAAGTCTTAGTGAGAAAAGAGCTATAAATAAATAAGGAACCAAAGGTGTAACATAGTATCTCATGCTTATACCTGTAATCCTTGCAGCATCTCTGACAGATGAAGCTGCATCCTTGCCCAATCAGTCTGCCACCTGTGATGTCTCTGAAGAGCTGAGTAGACAGCTGGAGGATATCCTGAATACATACTGCAAGGATACCAACCAAGAAGGTCCAGGAGATGACAGTGGGCAGAATGAGCCCATAGAGCTGGATGAGGCTGAAAAGGGGCGGAGTGAGTCCCCGCGGAATGGCGAGCAGGAGCAAAGTTGTCCTGAGATAAATGGGGAGAAAGAGAGCCCCAGGGGAACCAATGATGAGGGTGCAGAGCGTGATCAGAAGAGAACCCAGGAAAAAAAGAAGGCTAAGGGTCTCGGTAGGTGGTTGGTTCCTTCCTGACTCACATACATTCTCTTCCTGATTAAAGCCAATCTGTGCGCAGAAATAAGTCAGCAGTTGCTGTTAGTCTTTTTTATGGGGCTCTGAGCTTTCTGTTCACTCTGCTGCTGTTTCTGTTGCACCAAGAGGGTCTGCGCAGGCGTTTCTGCCTGCCATCTGCTTAGCTTTTTAGTATCACAGATGTTCTGGCTGAGGTGTGCTTAAGGAGACTGAGTTCCAAAGTCAGTGAACAGCCTGCATGCTATCCAGTGCACACACATCCTGCCCAAATCTATAGCTGTGCTTTTGGCTTTTCATTGAACTGTCTTGCTGATGAAAATTTGTTTGTGCTGTCTCTGAGGGCAGCTACTGCAGTTGTTTAGTAAGGTAGGATAAACAGAGAACCTGCGAGAAACTCACGGGGGAAGGGAAATCTCATCCCCCAACTTCCCTCTCAGTTGCGCTCCTCTCCATCACTTTCTTCCTGCCTCCCTCTTTCTCCCCCACCATTCCAGCAGCACCACTTTGTCCCTCACAACTTTCTTGACAACTCTGCTGCTTTCTTCCTTTCTTTCCTCCTGTTGTTGCCTTCCACCACCTCACTCTTGAGCAATGTTTAGTGAGGTTCCCAGGCAACCTCAGAAGGATGGCTGAGACCTCTCAATGCTATGTCATGAGCTCTCCTTTTTCTTTGTTGAACTGTCTGCAGTTTTGTTTTTTTTATTTAACCCTCCCTCACTTTTTTTTGCCTTTTCTGAACTTTTGACAAATTTTACAAGAATCTCCTAACCTGGCCATGTTATGTGTTAGCTATATGATGTGCTCCCACATGCTGAAAAAGCTACAACTAGAGGGGAAATTTCCATTGAAAACAATTGGTGCGTTTGTTTCTTTAGTCCCCGTCCCCTGAAAAAAAAAATCTGGATGGATAACTACAGAAGGCCTGCTGGGATTTTTCACCACACAAGATGCTTTCCTGTATCATATTAACTCTCCCTGACCTTGGAAATCTCTCCTTGGTCTATAAGTATTTCAGTTTTCTGTCTCCTTTGCTCACCACCACCACCACCACCCCTCTTCACGCTGCCTCATTCCATTGTGCCCTGAATGTGTGTCTGCTTTGCCCTTTGTGTTCCAGGAAAGGAGATCACATTGCTGATGCAGACCCTCAACACCCTCAGCACATCAGAGGAGAAGCTGGCAGCCCTCTGCAAGAAGTATGCAGAACTGGTTAGTTCCTGGCAGGGCAAGAAGAAAGGATGCTTGGACGGGGTGGCAGTTCAGGGGGCAACTGAATAGAGCTTGTCCTGGCATCTTCTTCCATTCTCATTTTCTAATAAATCTGATAGCTCAGAGGAAGATGTCTGTGGTTTCCTTTAATCTCACACTGTCTTGATGATTTGGGGTAAGCTGTGACTGTTTCAAAGCCAGAAACTTAAAATGAGCTGCAACTCATAAGCCAGCCACCACACAGCAATGCTTTATAGCCTTTCTTGGAGCTAACTAGGCAGAACTTGTCTAGAAATTTATGTGTGTTTGGAGAGCTTTTCCAGGGCCTCCAGTCCTCATGGGGTAAAAGTCTGGGCTTGTTCAAGATGCAGCATCCTTATCCTCAGCATCCCTTGTGGTGTTGCCATGAGTCCTGGGGCACTGATTGCTCCTAAATATATGGCCACTCCAGTTGTATGGCTTAGACTGACCCTGCAGAAGTCAGTGCTTCAATTATGCCCTGTACATAGCTGATGAGGACCACCGTGGCCTCTGCCACATTCCCCATACTTCCTGTGGGAAACCAGTAGTGTCCCACTGCAAAGATGTTTGCCTTTCTCCAGGATGCTACTTGCGCTTCCAGAAGTGTGCTTGAGCACCAAGCTCACTTCTTAGAAAGTCCTTGGCCTTCTGCTAAGCCATATAAAATGTCTTTCTGTGGAGTGGTTATGTTCAGCAGAGTGAAATATTAATGCTTTTAAAAAATGTTATTAACCATTCATCTTTAGGCTGCAGTAGGTGTGTAATGAGTTTCAGACTTGAATGCTGTCCTCTGTGGGCGTGAGGATGATCTCCCTGACCAGTCTCCTTTGACGAATGAGGACATCCTGGAGAAAGTGATCCTTTCATTGTACTCTTGAGGCAGCACATGTAGCCGAACTCTGTGTCCTCAAAAGGGGAGCCCTTCACCAATTGTTGTCCTGTTTTCATCTGGAGGCCATGTGGGCCTAGAGCCTGCTGCCTTCTTCTCGATAGCAGTGCAGTCTGGAAGTAGACGGTCTACTTGTCAGGCTACCACCTGTCACCATAAAGAACATGAGCTGATCTTCCCCACAGCCTGAGACAGGATGGGAGCAGCTTCCCAGATTGCAGTGGATTCTGTGAAAGCTGAGTTTTATGCAGAATGCAACCCTCACAGCAGCCAACTGAGCCATAGAGTGGGAGAGAGGGAGGGCTTGGTACCAAATAAGTGGTGTGAGGCCGTTTTAGCTGCCTTGGTAGTTGATAATTAACAGACCGGTGTGTAATTGTTGATTTTGGTGGTAAAAATAGGGGAAAAGGCTATCAGGACTCTGGAACAGAATTGGTTGATTGTAGCTTCATCAAGGAGACCACTGCTCAGTCTTGCACTGTTGTCCTGCATATAACCGTGCATCCCTCCCTCCACCCCCTGTCTTGATTGCAGCATTTCCCCTCCCTCAGTCCTTTTTACTGCTATACCGTTATCGGTATTCTTTATGCATTTCCCTTTTCATGTTTTTCTTTCTCTTGCCAGCTTGAAGAACACCGAAACTCACAGAAACAGATGAAAATCTTGCAGAAGAAGCAGACTCAGTTGGTGCAGGAAAAGGACCATCTACGGAGTGAACACAGCAAAGCAATCTTGGCCCGCAGCAAGTTGGAGAGCCTGTGCCGGGAGCTTCAGAGACACAACCGCACCCTCAAGGCAAGAGAGCCCTGCCCTAAGCCAGCCCACTGCCTGCTTGCCAGGGTTCTGTGCCCAAAACCCAGGGTTGCAATGCATCCAGTGCTGTATTCACACGCAGCATTCAAGCCTTGAATGGCTTTTGAGACTGAAAGTTGGGGGGGAGGGGGTTTCCATGCTGTTTGTTCTGCTAGCTCAGCCTTCTGTTCCAAAAAGGCAGCACAAGATAATTAGCAAGGGTAGCTACCAGGCAGTGCTGCTTTGGCTAAGCATGGCATCTTGAAGGTATCAGTTTAAACCTTCCCAGTTGATCATAAGAGATTGTGATGGGGTTCCAAGGCCCAGGAGATGGGATGAGGAGGATATCAGGCCTGCCAACTTGACTTGACTTGGGCAGGTGCAGTGCTATCAGGGCCTGTGTCTAGCTGCTTTACAATGAGCTGGCCTAGAGATCCATGTGTTGGACTGGCCAGCTTGCATTTTATCTTGCCTTTTCTCTAAGAAGCACAAGCAAAACGCAAAGTTCTTTCCACTTCTGTTTTATCCCTCCAGTAGCCCCGTGGCATAGATTAGGCTGTGTGGCAGAACATGCCAGCTTTGACTTGCAGGCCCTGCTCTGCCCACACCTCCTTGGTATTGCCAACTCCTGGAAGGGGTTACTCCTTCCTTCCACTAGGGTAACTCAGTGCCACCACCTGTCCTTTTTGGGGGGGTTTCCTGCTAGGAGGGACAGGGCTCCTAGCCCCCCCCTTTCCAACCTGAGACCCTGTCTCTATGTCCTCCATTACCCAGAACCTGGTTACCACAAGGACCAATTACAACTTTGGGGCTCCCCTGGAGAAATACCCACGTGCACACTGACTGCTTTCCTCCCATCCAGGGGGCCCCTCTTGCACTAGTGTGTCCAAGACAGTGGTGGAAACTTGGTGGTACAGAGACTGAGAACCAATCTCCATAGTCAAAAAAGATTTATTGAAAAGAAAATATTTACAAGCTGAGAACCAACCTCCATAGTCAAAAAAGATTTATTGAAAAGAAAATATTTACAAGCATCCTTAAGCACAGCACTAGATCAAACAGATTTCAAAAGAAAAGTGGTCATAAATGCAGTTGTCTGTCTCTTTTCTAGACTGATGTTGAAATAGGGCAGACAGTAGTGATCTTAAAAAGGTGCAAGGTTCCCATCTAGTCCCATTACCTGGGAGACCACATGGTCAGCAAAAGATGGCTGCCACGATTGACCATCACTCAGAGATCTATTCCCTTAGAAGAATCAGCACCAAGAAAGCCCTCCCTCCTTGGAGCAAGGGATTTTGTCAAACCTATGTCTCCACCCCCTTTACATCACTCCCTCTGCCCTCTTGACCTGGTCTGCCAAGGTCACAGGTGCATCCTGGGAGCCCTCCTGAAGCGCCTTCTGGGAAATCTCCAGAAATTGCCTGGAGACCTCCTGGCACCAAATTTCTTAATTTTTCTACCTGGGCCATTAGTATATTTATAGATGTAATCTAGCAGGCAGTTGAACTGGCTTCCTGTCACTTCCAGAAAGGAAGAAAAAGCCCTGCACTTTTAACACTGGGGGAGTGTCTGGCCCAAGGTCACTCAGAGGGCTTTATGGTAAAGTGGGGATTTGAATTCTGATTTTCCCATTCTAGTCAGACTGCCACAACGACATTGTGCCTGTTCAGCCTGGCCAAGATTATTTCCAGCAAGGACCCTTTGTAGCCCTGCAGACTGAGAAATCCTTTAACGGAAATACCAGGGATTGAACCTAGACCTCCTGCACATGATCTTCTGTGATTTATTTAGGGCCACTCTCCTGCCCTTCGACCTGAAGACTGACTTTCTTCCCCCCTCTTCCCTCACTAGGAGGAGGGTGTCCAACGTGCCCGTGAAGAAGAGGAGAAGCGAAAGGAGGTGACCTCCCATTTTCAGGTGACACTCAATGACATCCAGTTGCAGATGGAGCAGCACAACGAGCGCAACTCCAAGCTGCGGCAGGAAAACATGGAGTTGGCTGAGCGGCTGAAGAAGCTCATCGAACAGTATGAGCTGCGGGAGGAGGTGGGCGAGTCCTTAGGCTGGAGTGTTTGTGGTTGTGGTGGAGCTTAACCTGGTTTACAGAACAAGTTTTTGGGGCTCTGATAGAATTGCACTGGAAACTTTAAGAGAAAGCTGTTTAGAAGATCTTGTGCGTTTAGTAGCTGTGCGTCCTTATGTTTCATCCCTCTTAAAAATGCTGCATCCTCTTTCTGATGTGGGAGGGCCACTTTGTTTGTGACGTTACGTATGTGCTATCAAGCTGCAGTTGACTTACAGTGACCCCATAGAGGTGGTTGCCATTGTCTGCCTGTGCGAAGCAACGCTCTTCTTCAGTGGTCTCCCATTCAAGTACTAACCAGGGCTGACCCTGCTTAGCTTCTGAGATCTAATGAGATCGGGCTAGCCTGGGACATCCCGTTCAGGGCTTACAGTGCTGCTAGTGAAGTCATACTTTGATGCTTATGCTCTGGACAAGGGCTCTGATTTTGGGGCCTGGCTTGTGTCCAGCAAGTGGCTGTTGCTTTTCTTGAGCGGTGGCACAGAGGATTTATCCTCTGATTAGTAACATCTGAGCTGAACAGTACGGCTGTCAGTTCTAGCTCCGTGTTGGTGTGAGCTATCAGCCATGTCCCTAGCTCGCCATCCACCCAGCAGTTCGAAAGCTTCGGCGAGTAGATAAAATGGGTACCACTCCTTAGAGAGGGTGGGCACACCAAAAAAAAACCCCCGGTGGGGGAGGTGTTAGCCGGCGACCGGAATGCTCAGCTCGCAAGATTGAAAAAGCCTAAGAAATCTCTTTGACTCCGAGAAGCCTGTAATGGGCCATTCTGGCCAGGCGGTGGCAGTGCGGCGCTGCAAGACCTGGAGAAGCTGACGTCACCTAGCCAAGCCGAAGTGGATATGCTGACGGAAC